TGTAGTGCCGAATTGCTATCCTTACTTAGTAATATTCAAAGTATTGTAATAAGTATATCTGTTTTTCATTTTTATTTGACATGAGGATGGGATATTGGATATAGAGATGGTATAGTATAATAGATATAGATATAAAAAAATCTTAATGCGGTTGGAACAACAAGATTACAGCAATTTTATTACTTTTGACTTGTTTAAACTACTTCCTAGATAACGAAAAAAATATATAACCTTGCTGTTCTAAAAATTAAGCGTAATATAATTTTATATTCTAGAATTCTTTTTTGTATAGCCAGTGCTATTCCAACATATGTTACTAAATATATAATCAATATTTAACCTTGCTAACCCAAAAAATATATAATTGAAATACAACCTTGTTGTCCTAAATCATATAACCAAAATGTAATCTTGCTGTCCCAAAAATTTAGCCATACTTGTGTGGATTGCTGTTCTATTATACCGCAGGTCACTGTTTCAAAAATTTAACCATATCTGTGTGAATTGCTGACCCATTATACCTATATATTTTACTGTCTTGTTATATCTACGTGCTTTGCTGTCCCGATTGCATCTTGATTAAAATTATATAACACAAAAACCCTTTGTATTAAATGCCTAGCACAGGTTGTTATCCTAAATCACACGACACAAAAATGATCCAAGTATCAGAATATTAATTTTTTATTTGAATTTTTTCTTATATTAATTGTAAGAGGCGACAAAAATCTCCTTATCCAAAATATATATGACTAGATATACTCCTAGCCAAAGTATTTTGATCACATTATTTTAAAATAATAATTATACATATTCAATAATTGCTAAAGATTTATTTTTCAACTCTTTTTTGTGCGGAGTAGTAGGAACTTTCATTTTAGCCTCAAAATTTCGCTTGTATTCCAGGAAAGCGATTTCGTCTATACTCTCGTGCTCTTTTTTCCAATAATTATGGTTATCCCGTATTTCAAAAGCAATCTCGGTTCGCCATTGCTTTAATTTTTCTTTCAACATTTGGAATTTTTGCTGTAAAAGAAGGATAAGGGCATCGATATCAAATTTATTTTTAATGAGAAACTCTGAAGATAAGGAAATCAAAGGTTTAGATATATTTTTCTCCGTTATGCTAACTTTACCAATAGTGTTATCGACGACATGGCATATATCTTGAGAAGAATTAAGATCTGATTTTGGGGAATCCGCAATTACATTATCTCTTAAACAAGCATCAGGAAGAATTATTTTTAGATTTCTATCTATTTTAAGTTTTAAGTATATAAGTTGATTCTACGATCTTTTTCTCAGTAAAATGATACTTTAAATTCCTTTAGTGGTTTGAGAAGAAATTCTATAAAATACTTTAGATTATAGTTAGCGTGTGGTCTCTATTTTTTCCCAAATATTGCATAGTAACGACACTTATTTTTCTTATAAATTGGTAGGAAGTTCGGTAAATTAGTATCAAAATCTTGACGTGATAAAGTATAAGATGTATAAATACCTGAAGAAAAACTCATCCCTTGTAAAATAAAAATGAAAAACAGATATACTTATTACAATACTTTGAATATTACTAAGTAAGGATAGCAATTCGGCACTACA